ACACACACACACACACACACACACACACACACACACACACACACACACACACACACACACGTATAAAGGAAGTGAGATAATACCGCTGTAATAGTAAAAATGTTAGTTTTACAAGCTTTTGTTCAGACTGCGAAGCAAAATAACAATACTGACTTTGCTTTGGGCCGTTAATCAAGTGAATATATTTGAAGATACCAGTTGTTTTTTTATTAACTGTCCAAGATGCGATAATGGCATTCCAATTTAAAAACAAGTTCAAAGCTATGGCTCTTCTTAAAAACAAAAAGGAGATCTAGTATATGTAATTTCCCCCATCTTTGTGTGTGATTATAAACTTAGGGCCACAATACATCGTGAAGAAGAAAAATCAAATAAGGAAAGCGATTGAACAGTAGCAGCAATGGCAAGTCACACAATATAAAGTACCGCAGCAATAATGTACATATCAAGCCAAGTGCAAAGTTGCTCAATGTCTGGAATAGCCGAAACGCAAAAGAATAAAAAAGATTGAAGATTTTTTTTTCTTAAAATCTGGAGAAATCTCGCAAACTGTTTCTCCGTAAGAAGTGAAGGCCTCTTTTTTCCTCCCCTTTACGGATTTTAAAAAATGCTTTAAATAAACTGTTCTGTTTGTTCTATTTGTGGTCTCGTTTTTTTTTTTTTGGGGGGGGGGGTTTGCTTTGTTTTTGTTTAATCGTAAATGATATTCTAGCTGTGGTTACGTTGCCGTGTTAAAATTATTCGATTTTTAAGAAGAAAACAACTTTAGGGTTTTCTTACTTTTTTCTCAAGTACTCGATTTTGTCCTGAATAGTTGTGCCTTGTGGAACCGGATAACCGGACTCGATGATACGAACCGGTTCCCCTCCCGTGTGCATCTCTGTGGTTGTGATGATCACGTCAAACTCTGCCTGGCTCTTCATGACGCTCGTCTCAGACATGGCGATTCCTTTCGACAGCAAGATTCCAGAATTCTGTCAACAGTACATTGAGATTATTGTTCGTCTAGCACAACATGATTCATGAAAAGAGTTCCAAGCTATTGCACATCAAATCATTGCTGTTGCAAGCAATACACTTAAGTCTAATTTTTTAAGAGTTTTCGATTTTTACACCCTCCCAACGCTCTATGAAAGGTGTAGCTTTCTACATCATCAACATGCAGTTTAATGCAATAGTCAAAGTTTTACAATTTACTTGCTTTTCAAGATTCCTGATAAAAACAACACAACAAAAACTAATTTTTTGGTCTCTGATGTAAAAAAGTACCCAAACGGCATGAGGCAACTGTAAAAGAAGTGCTTGAAGGAAAGATGTGGGGCAGGAGAGCCAGGAGAAGACAAAGAATAACATGGACGGACAACATAAGAACATGGACTGGCCTGGATATGGTGTCATGTGTAACGGCAGCTCGCGACCGAGTTAGAGATGACACCACCAGGTATCCAGGTATCAAATCAATACATCAAATCATAGTATCCATATAACTTGAACCAATGACTTTTATTGCGGGACTGATAGGTTATGGCAGTTTCATCTTTTATTATTCTCCTGCTTCATGCCTAATACACACTAATATTGCCATAACTATTCGTAGAAAGGACTCACAATTTTGGATTCTATCATAAGACCATAAGATAAAGCGGCAAACATATTACAAATCTTGTTTTATTAACGGAAGCACATTATGAAGTACACCAAGGCAATAGGTTCATCAAAGTCTGTATGCGCTATATGAATGCAAATATTTTAAATTATAATTCTTGTTATTACCCTCCTGCCCACCTGGCTGTAATGGGTACCTGACTTCGAGTTGGGGAAGTAAAAGCGGCGTGGAAAGGAACTGGCCACCCTACCACAATATGCCGAAGGTCCAGGAAGTTGTCTCACTAACAAGGCAATCCCAAATGTCCGGATCGGATGTCGGAACAACTTTACTTTACTTTACTCTTATTATTATTATTACTATTATTATTATTAATAGTAGTAGTAGTAGTAGTAGTAGTAGTAGTAGTAGTAGTAGTAGTAGTAGTAGCACTGTTATTATGAAGAGGCGGGCTACTTTAATCCTGTCTGACACACAAGCTAGCACAAGCTGTACATGGTTTTAGAGAACGCTGGTACCCGATAAATTACACCGCTTCCACCTACTGAAATCGAACTCACAGTAACATTTCGTGCATGGCAGAAAACCGTATCCATTACACCACCACAAAGCAGGTTGCAGTTAGGTAAGTATGATATTGTCTTTCGTACTTATATACCTTATGACTATAGCTCCTTTGCTTCGAAGTAGTTAGGAAAAAAGAAGAAAGGACGACTAGAAAGCAAGTTTTGATTTTTAAAATGCCCACACTCCCTAACGAAATCCGGAAAACACTTGTAATCGGTGGAAGAAACAACTAAGATAAGCTGATACTTTACTGCCCCAGTGAGAAATTTTTCAAAAAGTGTGTCCATTTAAGTCTACACACGAAGCACAACAGACACATCTGTTATATTACATTAGATTCGCTTGATTTCCTGAGAGACGGCGAGTGATACGTTACTAGACAGGGGATATCAAAGATGTGTGGAGAATGCGTTGTCGTGCATGATGACGTTTGCATTACGTTTGTTATGTTAATTATTGTGGGGTCAAAATACGGGGTGCAAGCTATCCTCAGATATCTCTTTAACGGGAAACTCAGTGTCACCCATACTTCGCACAACACTTTTGATCAATTTGTCTTACCTTATTCATGTATATTTTTCCACAGCAATCGGTGCTAAATTAAAATATAACCCCCCCCTATAGAACATACTATCAATCTCCGTCACGCAGAAAATGGAAGTGACCACCACACTACCTGCTTCTCACACACATTTTGCATAGGCATATTGTATGGCTTACATTACAGCAAATTTGTAACAGGAAATTCATTTTATAGTGAACGCTTTTTTCATTATGTTATGATTAGAAAAAAGTGACGGGCTTGCATATAAAAGCGATATTTTCCCAGCTGTAAACTTTTTAAAAATCTGTAGAAACCACCCACTGGGATTTCTTAATCGCATTTATTTAAACATTTTCGAGAAAACAGCTAACAGGTGTCTACAAAAATAACTATCTCTAAAGACAAATTGTTACAAGTCATTGTGCAAAAGCATGAGAGTTTTTTCGATAGCTGAGGAAATATTTGACAATAACTTGCACCACGAATTTTTGACCGCACTATAGTTCATTATTCAGCAACATAGAAACGAAATCGCCTTGAAATATTGCACTGAAACGTCTGACGTGTCGCAGTCGCAAGCAAAAGACTCGAGTTCGATTCCAGAGTGGGGACAATTTACTTTGAGCATATTCAGCTTTCTGCTGGGATGTTGTAACCATCTAAGCCAGGGCTGACCCTGACAGGCAAGGTTGAAACAGCCCGCCTTCAACCAATCTAACTTGTGCCGATTGGGCTGTACAACGCCTACAATAAGACATAAAAAACACAAGCGCGCGCGCGCGCGCACACACACACACACACACACACACACACACACACACACACACACACACACATACACGAATGTGCGGGCACACACATACATACATACATACACATATACTCGTACATACAAAAACAACTCCTTTGCATGCTTACCTTCGAAAGCAGTGACAAAATGAAAGCGTAACGGTCTGTAGCCGAAGTTATATTGCCAAAGTCTACGTTATAAAGACCCGTGTAATTGTAAGTGTAATTGCTTGTTCGGTGGTCAGTCAGCCCCTGCGAATGCGACCAAACCTGTTTGGGAAATGCAGTGACCTTTATAAGCAGTGATCAAAGAGCTTTATGTACAAGTACAAGCATGTAGCACAAACCAAGGGCCTAGGTAGAGAAGACTCTAGTCCGCATTAAGAAAACAAATGACTTTCTCTGTCAAGTAAAGCAGGACTTATACCCCTCACATAACTATTATGTCTTTCCATTTCATTGTCAATGAATTCACTAAAAGGTAGCATCGAATCTCCATACTTTTCTCACTAAGAAGGGATGCAAAATGATTGTCAGTTTATTTTCTTTCTCTTGTAAAAACGGAAAACAACACCACTATCAACAAAAACAACAAAATCAAAAATCAAACTGACAAAAAAAACCCCCAATAAAAAACAACAACACACTTTTGTGGCTTACCAGGATTTTACAATGGTGTGGAAAAACGGGAACTGATTATTATATTCGCCCTGTACGACCCAAAGGCGTGCCAGTGCTTTCGCCATAGGAAAATAAATCATTTTGATACGACTGAAACTGGGCGTATTTCTTCCAAGGTTCTCAACCCCGAGCTGCATATACAATGTACTGTCAGATTCTACAGTGTAAAAGTAAAAGCTTGTTGTTAGGCTCTTCGGTGTTGCGCGCAAAAGGGGAGCATTGATTTTCCACGTGGAGGTGGGGAATTTACTTTCTTGAGTCTCCGACAGTGTTTCTACTTTAGTGACTTGTCCCAAATAGCCTATCTTCTGAATTGTCTTAATCGTGTCAACGGTTGCATAAAATATGTACTACTATTAAATTTATAGTCAGCCGTTGTTGGTGTGTCCATATTGTAAATGACCAAAAGCCCACTTGTCGTATTCAAAGAACAAAACACAAGTTACAAACTGTGTGGTGTAAACAATACCACATATGGCACTAAAATTTGAGATCCTATATTAGGCCTAGAGTGTTTAGCAAGGCAGTGCTCAACATAATAATACATGTATTAAGAAAACGTACGAGCCCGACAAACAAACATTTTAAAAAAGATAAAAGACGATAGCGAGAGGGAGGAAAGAGAAAGAGGGCGGAGAGGGAGGGATGATCGAAGGCAGGGCCGAGAGTGGGGGGGAGGGGGACAGAGAGACAAGTAAAGGTCACGGTATCCCCAACAACCACCTCGACTAAACGTTAATTTGTTCATCCTACTACCCAGAACCTGCTCACAATTGATACAAGCAACATCATAACTGATCCTCCACTTCACGTGAAAATACGTCTTTTTCATACCCAGACGACAGACGACTGTAAAAGAATGTGCTGTAGTTGAAAGACTTCGTCCATCAGTCAAACGCTAACATTGCTTTCATTACGGGGGCCTGGTTACACCCAACAGATGATAAGCAACCTTTGCTGGCTTAACTCTGCAAAGTTATAAAGCTATTTTCCGTCCCTAATCATAAGAGAAAAAAAAAGGGGTGGGGGTGTCTATCATTCACAAAGGAAGTATTCATCATGTCTCAAGCAGACTGGAGATCTTTGCATTGTTTGAGCGGTGCACCGCTCCCTAAGAAACAGCCACGAGTTTTGTTTTTTTTGGTTGTAAATGGAAGAGTTGGTAAAAGCGCTAAATGTATGACCATAATAATGACCAAACAAAAATGGCACAAAAACAGTCGGTATAGCTAGGGCTACGACATTCGGCTCACTTTTTTAAAATTTGTCAACCATATTTTAAATTGTGTTTAACAATCCCTCCAACATGCTATTGGTAGTATTACAGGCGACACTCACGTTTTGATGTCCGTCTGCGATAGGATTAGGGTAGTATCAAACAGAAACCCCCCCACGAAAAAACACTTTAAAAGAAAAACTCTCGAAAGCAAAAGAGAAATTGAATCGCGTAACCTACTATGACCATCACACTGCGCCACAATCTGAGATATCAAGTAACATCTACAGCAACTGTCGCATCCTGATCTCTACCTGAACCTGAAGAGGTTAGGCCAGAGCAATGAGCCGTGTGACGACCATGAACTAATGATATAATATGTGAGTTAGGCGCTCGTCAATTTAATCAAAGTGAAGAAACTGGCATTTTTCATTATGTTTGTGAATTTTTTTCGAATTCTAGTTTTTTGGCTCAACACCTTTAATGCCCATTAAGGAACACATTTTCTGTGTTGATTTTACAGAAAAACAAAAATTAGATCTAAATGTAAATTTTCAATATCCATGGACTCTTAAGCTAAGGAAATAATTCATCTCTGGCGGCCATTTTCTCACTAATTTTACTTCTGAAACCAGGTGACCCCTACCTCCTTCATTCGCAAATATCTCTATTTCTTTTCATGATAAATGGATATTTTTTTCATCCAAACAAGACAAATGAACAAGCTTTAAGGTGATACCAATAACTCTACATTCCCCAAAATTGACGAGAGCCTGATTCCACGGCGTCATGACACATATCATTATCTACATTTGGCCTTGTTCACCTCGGACATCCCATGGAGTGTTTCTTTCTCTAGGATAACGACGACTCGTCTCCAAATGGAAGGTGAATTTTGCTCAGATTACCCTCAGCGGTGGCCACTGTGATAATGTTTTTCCTGCAAGGTCAGCTAAATGACCAT